GAGAGAGAGAGAGAGAGAGTAAAAAGTTTCACCAGTCGACGTGGCGCGCGCCGCGATGCGTTGACAAGGGGAACAGCTATTTCTAGGTGAGAATCCCCGTGAATCGGAAACAGTCACCGGCGTGACGCGGCCGCGGTCGAAATTACGTAATCCCTCGCGACGATCTCGTTAAAGTTGCTTTCCTTAAGAGACAAATTTATAAACGGTAATACGATTTGCTTAATAATGATTTATTGCACGCTTACGATACCCGCTTTCGCGGCCGTAAATATTTCGGCGATGACGTTTATTGCCGGCAAGTCCGGCGGCGCACACCCTTTCGTCTCGGAGGTTTGCCTAGCCGAAAGTTCAGCTCCTCGGCAGTTAGGCTTACGCGGGGACGGATTAACCTTCTCGCCGGATTCGAAAGGGCGCGCGTAGCTGCCATATTGGAAACCGCGGATCGTCCTCCGCCGTTCCGAAGCGAATTTGACGCTCTGTTCTCGAAAGAGTTTGCACAGATTAGAATAAAGTCAAATAGCAAAGCCAATAACTGGACTGCGGATTTAAAATTGTATGAATCGACGGAAACATGGATGAAACAAATCTCTATTTAGATTTTATTTCAAGGCTAGCAAAAATCGCACTTTACACAGTGAGGGATTATTCGTCGAATGCGAATTTGACTGATTGTCAGTCGAAGAGTTAGAAAAAGATACTCTGCTATTGCTGCCCAAGTTCTCTACTTTCGTTTGGCGGTAATTTTGAAACGGACAACCAAAAACCTATTGCAATAATATACTTCCTTTGCTAGCAAAGAATTTCCAAAATTTTCGTTCAAATTGGAACGACGTCCTGAATACTATAATTCAGGACAACAGTCCCGATAATCCGATAATCCACTCGAGGAGCAAATTACAAAAAAAAAAAAAAAAAAAAAAAAAAAGGAGAAATTGAACCCGTAGACACAACGCGGGCGCGTACAGCAGTTTCTTTTTCTCTCTCTCGCAATTCACGCGAGCAGTTCGCGTTCGTTCTGGCCGGCGTGGATCGTCGTCGCGGAAGGCTAAGCGATTGTGGACGCGTTCCGCTGGCCCTCGTTAACGCGAGGAATGTAAATCAACTCGTAATAGCGTGGCAGCCGGGGATTAAGCGGCGCGCGAAGACGAGCTGGTGGCGCACGGGCACACGAGGAGGTGCGCGAGTCAACGGCAACGACAAGCGGCCTGTGCAACGGTTGACGTCGAGGGCGACGACGGCGACGACGTTGGCGACGCCGGTTAAAACAGAGGGGGACGAGAGAGAAAGAGAGAGAGAGAGAGAGAGAGAGAGAGAGAATCGACGGGTGGGAAGAACCCCTCTCCTCGTGCTCTCGAAGCATTAGGAGTTCGGTAATAAATCTCGTTGAAAAAACACACGCGCGTACACGTACAGTCACGTAGGCGAGGGCAGGCGTGCGCGCGCGTATATGCAGAGATCTGAGAACTCCGACGTTCCGTTCCGTTTCGTTTCTCGTTCTGTTCTCTTCCGCGCGCGTCGCGTCTATCTCGGTTCGGCTCGGTTCGGTTCGGTACATCTGCGCGAGAAAGAGGAAAGCAAGCACGCGGAGTAAAACGTAAGAAGGGAGGAAGAGGAGCAGACCCCTCCAAAGCTTTAGATCTTTCTCCCTCTCTTCTCGTCGCGGAGCACCGCGTCCGACGGGCAACGAGGTCGACATGATCTATGCACGCCGCGCGGAGGCGAGTGTCACCGTTTGCTTGATGCATCGGTCCTCACCTGAGCCCAGGGAACCCTCTCCCGCCTCCGACGTCGTTCCTCCGCCAATCACGCGGCGTCCATCCAGCCGAGTCCGCTCGACTTTTTCCTCCGATCGTCGCCGATTCGAAAAAAAAAAGAAGAAAGAGGAAAAGAAAAGGGGAAACGCGGGACGAAAATTCGAGAAGCCCGTTACCGCTGTTGGATGAGAAAGAGAGAAGAGGAGGGAGGAAACGCGAAGAGGGGCGAGGAAAGGAGGAGAAGACGACGAAGAAGAAGAAGGCCAGACGCGAATAGTACGACGACGACGATGGTTACATTCTACGGATCAGAGAGCTCGATAGCGTGCCGAAGTCGAAGCGAACGGCAATAAATCCATTTTTCGTGAAGGGTCGGTCGAGGGGCGAGAGCGAGCCAGGGTCTGATTAGCAGCCTGACTCGCCGTACAGGATGACAGCCGGTGAGTTATAATATT